TGAAAATTCTGGCTTTGGTGTTTGTTGATAGTTGTTTTGAGTTCCAGATGTCCTTCAGTTATTAAAATACTGTCCTTGCTTTGCCAGTCCACATCTTCACACCTGTATCAGATCCACTCCGCTCGTCAATGATGATACACGAAAATGTAGAGTTTTTACATCATCCGAAACTTCAACGTTAAGTGTGATTTAGTTAGTGGATGTCGTTTTGTACCGACAGATCATGCTTTTTCCCTAGTGAATGTCCATATCTACTGCTGCAGAGGCTTCGGTTACACTGGTCGTCTTCACCTGTATTTGTTGGTGTGTGTGAGAGAGAAAAGCTAGATCATTTGTGAACTCCGAATCGTTCACTTGCATCCGAGCTGTTCACTCTATCCTGTGCTTCTCCTTAGTTGTTGACGTCTTCATAACCCAGTCGACCACTAGAAAAAAGGGAAAGGGTGAAAGTAGTAAACCTGCCTGACACTGGTCTTCACTTGGAATGAATCTGTGAGCTGTTGTCCATGCACGATTCTTCAGTATAATCCATCGTAAGAATTCCGTATGGTATTACCTATCTACTCAGCACGCTATAATGTGGAAGAAGCCTCCATAGTGTCATCCTGCCAACACTGTTAAATATTATCTCCGAGTCAATAAAGTTGATGTAGAGGTGTGAATTATATTCAATTGATTTTTCAACAATGATTCGTGATTTAGCGATTTGGTCGGTATTCATCATGTGTCCATTCGTTTTCAATCATTTTGAGTACCACCAAGCTGTATTTTTTCATTTCCACAGTATTTTTAATAGTTCTTCCGGTTTTCCACATCGTGCGGACATTCTATTTACCTATACTAATAGTTGGTCTGGTTGTCAGAAGTCGTACTATCCTCGTAACCTTCGAAGAAACTCAACCCTCACATTGACACGTAGCAACTATTCTTAATGATCTTCGAACTGCCAGGTCAGAGTTTAAATGGTTTGAGTTATTTGTTTTGGTTAGCATTCTTTCAGAAAGTTGAGTTTCTACAGGATAGAGTCACTAACCCCCTGTGCAACCTTCCTCGTTTATCCGGGCTTGAGACTGGAAGGGCTCCAGGCTGAGTTATTTTCATCTCTAAAGCATCATTATTATGAGAATAAACTAAGACATTGAGATTATCAACCACTTATTTTCGTTTAAGTTATTTTACAGTGGCAGTTATTTCAGCACCAGCAGTGGAGTTGTGATAACCATTTTTAAACCCTAAGAAGATGAATGCTCATAATATTTTATAACTACTTAATACTTGTTAAAATTATTAAAAAAGCTTAATTTATCTTCATATCTAACTACATTATTACCAGATGATGCAAACTAGACTAATAATTACTTATACATCGACAAAAGGTAGGTATTTTTGATGCTAGCTTATTATTATTTATTAGATGTAAGTTTTATTTTCACTTATTTATTTACGGTTGATATAATTTTTAAAAAGAACAAGTATTTGACATTTACAGAATAATAAAAAAAAAGTGCAGTAAAACCAGTTATTCAAACAATTCAATCTCATTTGATAAGATGATTAATTTGTCTAAGTAACCGAATGCTAACTAGTAAGTGTAATACAACACTAATTTCAGATTTGGTTTTACATAACCAATACTACCAAGATATATATATATATATAATCTCGTATTTTGATTGAAATATCTTTACTATAAAATTGGAATTTGATCAACTTTTGATAAATTGATCAATTGATCAATAGATCAACGAAATTCCAAAATGAACAATTTTAACAGATGTACATAATAAAAAGGCTGGTGTCTCTCACTCATTTATACTCATAGCTAATATATTTAAACACATATACATGTTTTCCTTTTAATTTGCACAGAATATGAACAAATTGGTATTTTTTTTGTTTTGTTTTGTTTTGACAAATAATACGTCATCATTTCATTTTAAAGAAACCATGATAAAAAAAAATAAAGAAAATTAGACAGATAATTAAGAAGCAAGTAAAATTTATGGTGCCAGACAAGGGAAAAATTGACAAGAAAGATGGAAATTTGCAATGTACACTATATAATAGAAACAAGGCGAGATAAAGAAAAAAGAGAGTAGAAACAGTCAAAAGGCTAGATGATAATCAATTAGAACATCATTAATTTGTTCTCTTCAGTTTAGTTTCTTTTTTTTTAATTTTTATGGGAAAAATTATGCCAATATGTTAAGTATCCTGTCAGATATTGTGAATAAATTATGCAAAGAAATCTTAAGTAGAGAGATCGAGAGAGAGAGAGAAAGAGCATCAACTTACATGAAAACGATAAATGTATAGTATATTGGAATTATCTCTTGTCATTTTTTAAACTAAGAATATCTGCATCAATATATATATATATTTGTCTAGTTGACCAAATGCTTAACTAAATGTACAGATAATCGTAGTTTTTTAATCTCATTTACAAATAGTGTTTGTTTTGTTTTATATGGGAAAGTGATTGATTACCTTACTATTCAACTATTGTTTGTTGACAATGTAACTTAACTACCAGAAAGGTGTTCATTTTGTAAAATAGATTTTGATGTTTATTAATGAGAAACCTTGTTTAATGCTTAAAAACATTATTGACAGTTTATAACAACATATGTTTAACAGTGTGAGGTATAATAAGACAGTTTGAATGATTAACTCTCTTCCGTTGGAAGTGTTTTATTAGAACAATATTGATTTTCTTAAACTGTACAGTAAATTATCGTTTCGATTAATTACATCAACGATTGTAAATTAGAACCTACTATGTTTTATATTTTAAATCGAAATTCGTAACCGACCTGCTTCTAAATTTAATATTTTTATCATCTGACGTTTATTGGACTTCGTTTTATTGTGTTTGAGTAAATGAAATAATTCTGTTTTAGGAATTAATTCGTGACCTGACATTAATTTTTTGAAGTTATTCATTTACTTAGGATTCATGTTTAATCGCAAAACCGCTGTGAGACTATCTGATTCAGAGGCATTGATATTTGGGAAATATTCGGTTCAAGTTTTCCGAGATTATGATTTCGCTTACTCGTTGATAAAGTTGCCAAATGAACGCTTGGTCTTGTTTCGTAGTCACTTAAAACAACTACAGACTATATGTACATGACAACTTGAACACAGAGAAGGGGCGTAAAGTTCGAAACCAAAGACTGGTGAAAAGGATTTACTTGACTCAAAATAAATCAGTAATGATTTAGATATACGCTACTTTTCTAAGATTTACTTAGTTAGATTAACAGTCAGATTTGTTGAAATTAAACTGGGTTATATTTAATAATAATCACCCGATAGCTTACTGAGTGAATATACCTTTACTATCCTATATAATTGAGCGTCAATAATCATTTATCAGACATGAATATATGTCACACACGTTTGGAAAAAATATATGTTTTCATTTCTTACTTTACGTTTACTCTTCGTAGAGCTTAACATTAAGTCTGTTTTTACTTAGCATCTCTTCATTTTATTTACGTGCAGCAGTGAATTACTAAAATTATAGTCTATGATATCTGAATTATTTCCTTTATACTTTTCATAGATTACGTGAATGAAGTTATTGATTTTGTAGTATGGCTACAGATGTCAATTATTTTTATATATTGTTAATGATCTTGTCAGAAGGAGGCTGAATAAGAAAGTAGATATCTGACATGTGTAATTATAAAGATATTACACACAACAACAATACACTTTGCTTCTTGACCACAGTATCATCAAGAAAATAAAAACCATGTCCACAGAACTGTAAGTAAAGTTCTTTCTTCCTCTTATTATAAATATACTTAGTGATATGTCAAAATATATTTTTCTTTCTAGAGCGATAAAGTTTTCATTCACAAGTGGAAACGAGTTGGTTACTAAATGTTGATAAATAAGGTAGTTTTTAATGATTGAGAACAGTAATTTTCTGCATTATAAGAACTCCCAGTTTTATCAATCTTATTACCAAACATCTGTACTAAAATCTAATATTTCCTCAGCATTTTTCTATCTTCGGTTTAAGGATCACATTTAAATTAAACAGGAAATAACAAAAGAAAATAACTCATCTAAATAACTAAATTTGAAAATTTCGGTATCCTATAACATATAAGTCAGTTTGTTGCAAATTTTGTCCCAGAATACAAGTCAAGTGTTTTTTCTAAAAAAACAATATGTTATATCAAAATTTATTACATTAATGTCTAAACAAATCTCTTTATAATATATATTTTGACAATTTAATAGTAAATTATAAAACAGGACATTTTTATGAATACAATAACACTATACTTAAAGTTGAAGTAATTTCTGTCTCGTTTATATCAGTTGTTCAGAGAGCAAGTTTTTTTTTGACATACTTTGTAAACGATAAATAATTTTACTGATTGGAAAGTTGTGTAGCTTATTTTGAAAGAGAATCTTTTTGATTACTGTTCTCTAGTACATTTTATATTGATTGCCATCAAATGACAATTGTATTACAAATCCCAAGTGTTTGAATAGGAAATAAAACATTTTAATATTATTAGTTATTGATGGAGTAATTATTTATGGACACGTTTATTTATTGATAAAACTATCTCAGTTCTGATAATACAAAGGAATTAATCACAAAGTAAATGTTACAGTTTTTGGTCACACATTAATTGTAGTACTATCAGTTTTATTTGACCAATGAGAAGCCTAGCTTAATTCATCGTTCACTATTTAAATCGTAATCCAATTCTTATTGGTTAACGTGATGAGTAAGTTCAATCATGATGTTTTTTTGAAAAATGACGTAGCAATTACGGTGAACTTCATATAGAAATTCTTGATAAACGCATCATGTCGAAGAGTCTGTTTTTTTTTAACTACCGGAACATGAAATAAATAAAATTATTAAAAAAAATAAACTGAATATTATTGATCTATGTAATCTCGACAAAAGTTCTATCAAAATATTTCAACAGCTGCCACATGTGAAGATCAAATTTTAGAAATTTCGAATGCATAAAGCGAAAATTACTGGATCTGTGACGCGTAAAGCTTTATTAATATTGATATGGATGCACGAATTACAATATTTTGTATTTGGTTCCAACGGATATCGAAACTATGATATTTTCGGAATTAAAAATGATGAAACTATGAAATCATCTATACTGTGCATAAACCATAGTGTTTATGACTGTTCAGATAATTCTGATTTAAGAATCAATGACTCTGTATTATTCCCAACTACTGAACCTACATATGAATGTGACTTATTGAGTATGGATATTAATCAGGATTTATTTAATGGGCCAAAACAATGTATTGGTGAGTATCTACAATTTAACTTTTATGTCAAGAAATAAAATCACATTTTATCTATTACACTGTTCAAGATTCAATTTGTATTATAAGTTTTATTTAATTCTCAGTAAATTTCAGAAACAGTAGTGATAATATGATCACATTCAGGATAACTCGATTTTAGTTAATAAAACGTAGAGTAGATAACAAAATGTTCTATTCATAATTATATATATAAATATCCTGCCCAAAGTTTTCTACACTAAAGAACAGGACAAATATTGACAGTTTAACGATGAAACGATTAATATGTTTTAACAGGTAATTCATGCAAATAATAATTACAGATAATATATATTTCATTGTAGTATAATCAAAAAAATTCCTCAAAAAGCTTTTTGTTTAACTGAATTCCAGGATGTATATGATTATTTGTCTGGAAAAAAGGATTTTGATTCAGAGACAGAGTTACAGAAAATTAATTTTCATAGGAATATTTGTCACTAACAAATTCATTTTTAATTAATAAAAGGATTTAATAATGAACAAGATCTAGTTGCTTATTTTAAAGAATAATTTTATTTGAGTTTTTTCATTTCGTAATTGATTTCAAAGGAGTTGAATTGCTTTAGCAATGATACTTTCATGCATGAAAATATCATGGTTTTCTAAATATTTGTTAGTGCGTAATAATTAATACAACAACTTTATCGATTATTATTTTGACAATAGAGCTTTGTGTGTTGTGATTAAGTGTACAATCGATCTCATTGAGCAATTTAGCTTGTTTAATATTTCTTACCTTGTGTTTAATTTTAAGATAAACACAGACATGTGGTACGATTCCCTAGCATATCAAGCAGATCTCTTTATTCAGAGCTGAATTCAATCATTCATTTTAAGCTCTTTAGGTAGGTGTCTGAATATGTCCTAAAGCTATGAGTTATGCATGGTATAATACAATGAAATTTAAAACTAATTGCCTCTATTTCCAAACACAAGGAATAAGAATATATGAAGTAGTTGAGCACGTTGCTGACTGTGGTATCTTCATCACTTATTGGATAATACGACGGTAATTGAAAGGGATTATGTTAAATTTAAGTTTATGTATTAGAATCAAGAGCCATATACAGATTCATCAAGTCAAGTAATTTTAAACAAGATGAAATGCGTCTTTAACCATCGTGTAGTGATGTTATGTCAAATATTTGAATCATTCTAATTTCAAATATCCATTATCAGTTAGTCAAATCTGAATTGAAGAACATTCTTTTAAACTAGGTAGTTGAGTTGTGCTTAGAAGGTAAATAATGGTTTTTTGCGAACTACACAACTACAACATACTCCATAAACATTCCTCTGTAGATAGTTACGGAGTGGAGCCGCAGTTTTCGTTGAATTCGAAGATCAAGAGTTTTTTTCTTTTGAAACTTAAAGTTATTAATTAGAGATGTTTGCAATATTTATAATAACAGTCAAAAAATCCAATTACAGAATTGAAACAATGTTGACAATTACTAATTATTCTTAACTTAAGACTTTCTTAAGCACGTCTTAAGTAACGTTGACTTGTGCACTGACAGTCATATGGAAGTCAGTCAAATACAAATGTTCGTGGTTGTTCAACTTTATAGCAACAAATACAGTATTCCTTATAACACTCATCTATCCATTATTCCGTTTGATTCAAAGCTTTGCATATAGATGTATACCACGAAAAACGAAAACAGTCAATCAGCTACAACGTAGAACTTCGTACTTGCGTACGTCAGTTCAAGTAACCATATCATATTGGCACAGAGATGCAATCGTCAATTCAAATCCCATAATAGTAGAGGTAGTAGAAGTATTAGTTGTAATCGGAGAGATTAGGATTCGAAGATATTAATCAAGAGGTATAATCTAGTGAAATAAACTTAAATGGTGAAGTAACACAACAGCTATAAATTTTGGTTAGATAGCTATTATATTCATTTTTATGATTTTAAACTTTTATTATTATGAAAATGATTCTTGACTAAAGTGTTCAACTCTTAATATGAGTAGGAATTACATCTTGACAGAAATGATTTTTAGTCTTAAGTTTTATTCATTCACATGATGTCTGATAAAAAGAAAAGCAATTAATAATATAAAGATAATATTCCTCATAAAAACTTATTAAACTCAATTAATGAATGTTTGCTAATGAAATTTCCAATTTCTTTTTTAATCTAAAAGAAATTTCAATAATAGCGAAACATAATCTTCATAAAATTATGTCTATCATTAAGTCTATTGAGCATAATCAATAGAGGGGTAATATTTAAACCATTAAAATAACATGATTTGCTGAAATGGAATTTCACTGATCATTTTTATCTTTATACTCTCTGTTCAATCATCCATTATACTGTTGATATGATTTCAATTGCCATTAAAAATTCAAATGTCGGATTTCTGACTTAGGAACTGTTGAAAACTTTCGGCATAAACTGTCATCAGCTGTAAAATGCAATTGTTCGTTTGTATTATTCTTTATATCTTATCTGCTTTAGGGCTTTTTATTTCAATAACTCACATGATTAGTGATTAATTTGGAAGTATATGAAATCAACTGGTCTATATATGTATATTGAAAGAATTTAGTCGTTTAGTGGTAATACGATACAAAATAAAATGAAATTTTGATCAGTCACTCGTAATTGCTTTCTTTAAAATTTATCACTTATTACAACATACCAAGTTACATTGAATATCATGTCATAAAATTCTCTTTTACAATTTTTAAAGATCACAATGATACTTTATGCTTTTTATAAAAAATAAAATTTAGTTCATTAAATATTTTTTTGGGATCTAGTATCATACCGGTTTATCTATGTGTCTATTTTCTAAAAACAATGTACTAATGAAATATTTCATTGAAATATGATTAATCTGACGGTAGTTCAGCAATTAAATTTTCAATAATCCTAAAATAGCAAGATATAAGTGAAAATGTAAAAATGTATAGTTTTCAATTAACTTAAATCAAATTTATTTTCATTAGACAGGGAAATACATAAACTGTAAAATTAATCCGTATTGAAGTGCACATGAAAAATATAGTCGGACAATATTATAGATCCAATAAAATTGGAAATGTAGATCAATGTCAAGTAAATGTTTTAAAGACTATGAACTTATCATAAGATCTAAGTAAAACGTGTAGTTTCGCTCCTAGACTATGTTTAAGAATCTCATACAAGCCGAAACGGTTATCCAGTATTCTTTATATTTCACTGGCGATCTAGCACAATTTATTCCATGATTAACTTGAAATTTCAAATATTTTTTTCACGTAAAAATAATACTTTACATGCGATTTGGTCTGTCAAGTTCCATTTCGGTTTAACCAACTGTTTGATAGCTGTAATCTGAATACACAAGTTCGTTTGTTGGTATTACACAGTCATTTTACAAGAAAATGTTTGAATAAATTAATTATTTGGAGTTCTTGTTTTAAGGAATCTGATTCATTGAATATAATGTAAACTAAATGTGTTAATATCAAAGTTAGGCAGAAACGAACAATCACCAAGCGATAATATTTATGTTAATTTCTAGCTGAAATAATTAATAAATTTTCTATGATGCGGTTTGTTAGTTATGTCGTAATTTTATCAAAGGTAAATCCCCATAAATTATCGTTCCATCACACTATCTGTCATCAGAATTCACTTACTTCATTGATATTTTAGTGACCTAGAAGTCGGTCCCAATTTTTTACCAACAATTAAATCTACTGTGGAGTTAATCTTTCATCTCATTTACGTATATTATTCTTTGGAAAACTACGTTTGTGTGACGGTAGTAATTAAAAACCCAATATAATTTGTTTTGTAAGAATTTATATCACACACGCGAGTAAACAACTAGACAATAGAATGTGCAACATAAAAGCGAAGCAATGTAAAGTATAGAAGGTGACTGAACCAAATTCATGTAATGAGGCATGATTAATTATTTATAGTCAGACCGAAATAAGCTAGATTTGTGTTGAGTGAAGTTAACAATACACACATTCACTTAAATAAAAACAAACAAGATCATAAGCGAATAACTGACATGGTCGAAAGATGCACCGACAACTCGGGAAGAATGGATCAATTAGTTTGTCTAAAGACTGCGATAAGCAATGTGGGCTTGACATATTAGTACACCTGTAATATTCTTTAGTTGTCTCATTGGTTTAGTTTTTACTATGATTTTTAAGTTGGTAAGTACGTATGTTCACAGTTGAAATAGCAAACTTTCTTTAGATAGACCATTACTGAAAACTTGGTAGGATCATACAGTGGTCTCTTGCTAGTAAAGAATTCCTCGGCTGTGTGCATGGAGGACTTTGTGATGGAAAAATGCAGGACCCACATTCTCGTATAGGAGTTATAAGCCCAAGACCACTGAGCTGACTTCAATCAGTACATGATTTCACGGAACCATTGTTTGTGGTAGATAACTGTCTTATACCTGATAGGGGTTAAACACTATTGGTCATGTCTTCTCACAAGGGCTACAGAATTTGAACTCAGTCACTAGTGTGAACATGATTTTATTAATATAGGAGATTTGTGGAGATTGTTGTCTTATATTTGGACGAAACAGGTATTCAGTGCTTCCAGCTGATCTAGTTAAGAGCAGTTCATAGTTTTGACTGTGATAATACTTCAATATTAACGAATTTCATATACTAATTATATCTGGTAAAATAATAACATATTGTTGTGGTGGTGTTTCGTTCGCACAAACTTCAAATGGAAGTTTGTGTTGATGATGTTGTTCAGAAGAACAATGAAAGCTTCACAACCATAACATCCAGCTGAGAGAACGAAACACCTCCAAAATCATCCACCTGAGCTACAAATTTTCTCCACCATCTCAATAACATATTATCCTAATTTTATGCATCCTCATTATACATCTTAGTATCAAACATTTTCTTTATAACACTGAATGTCTAGTAAGTTAGCTAGGCTCAAAAACTAACGTACATTTCTTAA